ATTCAATGACATGTTTCATGAGTTGATTTTTTTTTTTTGTGTGTGTTTTGTTTTGAAATTATCAGCTGGTAAATCCAGTAATGCTGATGAAGTTTACAATGATTTCACTTTGGACAATAGTCAAGTTATTTACATCCATTAGGTCAAGTTTCCCAATCAAATCTTGCCACGTGGACTTTTCTTAAAATAAAAATTCACATTAATAACATTTCAAAATTTTGTTGGACCATTATTAATGATAAAAATTACACATGTCAAAGTATAATTGGAGAATTTGACTTAATTGGATATGAGCAACTTGAGCTAAGTTTTATTCTTTCACTTTGCCTTTCACGTGGTAGAACGGACGCTGCCCTTGAAAGGAATTGATAAAAGGGGAAAAAACAAGGAGGCAACTAAAAACAAGGTTCAATCGGCCAGTCTAAACTAGACTTGACATTCTGTTAATCTCTGTTCAATCTTTTTGCAAGTAAATGTCTTCATGGTGTCACCTCTATATTAACTTTTCCGCTTCCAGGCCCTTCCACATTATTGCTTAAATCTATTTGACCATAATAGGATAAAGATAGAAAAGCATGTTATTTTCTTCTTTTTCTTGATTCTTCAAGCATAGGGAATTACATTTGTATATCATTTGTGTTAAAATTCACAGAAACACTTTCAACTTAGGCCCTTGTGCGATCCTTCAACTGTTAAATATGACTCTTGGTCCCCAAGACTCAGAACCGAACCATGTAGCTTGATCCTTCTGTTAGAAGGTTGTTGAAAAGCTATAAACGAGTCCCTCCAAGTGAGGCTAGATCATGTCACGAGATCTCTAAACAGCTGACATGGCATCTAGCCATTGCCTAACAAGCTAAAGTACCCATTTTCCTAAGGAAGAAGACCCCAAAATGCCCCATTTCACCCTTCTTATCATGCGTGAAGAAAGAGGGCGTGAAAATAGGGACTCAATTTGTTGTAAATGTAAATACATATAATAGTTCACAAGGGCCAGTCCAATTAATCTTGTTCGTTTTTCAACTAATTTTAATTCATTTGTTTCTTGATCCTATTGCCTGAAATCTTACAATCAACTGCCCCTGTTTTGCACTTTTTTTTTTTTGGGGAAAAATTGCGCCATTAGTTGTTCTTATTCCTACATTTACTTTACTTCACTGTTTGGCTTTTATTTTTTGGTATATTTATTATCCACTTCTCATATGAGAAAATATATGCTTGGTAGCAAAATCTAGTTCATGAGTAGGATCAAACGTATCCTAGAACAAAAATCATAGCCACAATTGGCTGTAGACAACACAGAGGTATAAACTTGGCGTGTAGCCATCCAAGTATAAAAGCAACAAAAAGAGAACTAGAAAAACCATTTTGAAGCTCTCAGTCCTGAAATTCGAGCCCTTCAGCTCTTCTTGCACCTCCTTGGTACTCAAAACAATGCTCTCTTATCTCAACATGTGTCCCAACATCCTAAATAATTTATAGGTTCAAAGTTCATATGTATACCACTCAAAACATAGAAAAACTTTCGTAAGAAATAATATCCAGACCCAGCTAATTTAGGAAAATAACAAAAGAAATACAAAATAAATCCTAAATAAAACCAGGAAACTGATATTTTAGTCAAGAATTTTCATGCAAGGCTCTGAATCATCCAAAAATAAGCCATAATAGTTAGTTTCCTGTAACTGAAAGTTAATGGCTGCTCTAGCCGGTCAACATTTTATGTCTAGAGCGCCATTTTGACCACGATGACTTTAGAATAAAATTGAAACATGAAAATTGTAGCTTTGTCTTAGGGCCCGTTTGGTACGCTGGAATTAGTTTTGATGGAAATGGAAATGGAGATGGATATGGATATGGAAATAGAAATATATATGGAAATGGGGTTTAAAAGTGGGTTTGGTATGTCATGGAAATGATATATAATTTTTTAATTAAAATGAGTACCTTTTGTATTAAAAGACTATACTGCCCTTGATATATTTTTCAATCTAAAGGACCTAACAGTACAACAACCCGCCTCAACTTCAACCCCAGCCACTAACACCGCCGTTAGCCACTACAATCAATTGAGAACCAGATCTGAAAATAAAATGAAACAAAAAAAATGCCAATATTCGAATGGAAGAAGTTGAAAGGCGCATCTATATTCCTTTCTTATGCATCAGAAGCAAAAGGCTTCTATGACCATAGAATCTATTGAATTGAATATGCAGAAATAGAACCTAAATATTTGGTTCTCAATATGCAAATCTTCGTGAAAAACTTGAGGCTCATCTTCACTGGCAAATAGTTAGACGCAAATTGAAAGTAGTTAAATTTAAGACACTGAAAGAAAAAGTCGAAGGCTTTAACAAGTTTCCAGTCCTGGATTATGTAGATCTAGAAACTTTTACACCACCGAGTGAAGCCATGAAGCGTGAGGGAAGGAGATGAGGGCGGTGGCAGACAAGATCAAAGCCATCAAATCGTTAACCATCATCATGGCAGAAACTTGAAGGGCAGAAAGCAGGCGTTGCTTGCATCTGGCCGCCGTCGCCGTTGCCGAAGGTGGCTGCCGTTGTCGTTGCCAAAGGTGGCTGCTACCATTGTCATTCACCAGCAAAAACGAGGAGGGTGAATGTTTTGTAGAAGATGATAGAGAAGGGTAAAAGGAGAATTCCATGGAATTGTTTACAATTCCATCAGTTTTATGATGGAAGCCAATTCCATCAATTTGGCTTCCACATGGAGCCCATTTCCATGCCTTCTTTTTGTACCAAACAAACTATGTGATGGAATTGAATTCCATTTCCATATCCACCTGCTCCAATTCCAGCGTACCAAACGGGTCCTTAGTTTCCTAATACAAGTTAAATCACCTCAATAGTTTTTGACCATGATGAAAGTTATGGTCAAAATACTGAGGGGTGTTAAAATTGTCCAGGCACTATTCACATCCTTCAATCTTCAAATGCTTCAATCCTTTCAACGTATTGTAACTGCCATAAGGGCATAAGTCTGCACAGATTCAATACACTCGGACCAAAAATCATATATTTTGACATTTTATAATCCTAAGTTCTAGCACACACATTTTCCGTTATTTTTTTCCAAGTTATTTTACTACAAAACCCATAAAAAAACCCTGGAAAAGAGTGCACAAAAGGATGAATATCTGATAATTAACACATGCATTTAAGCCATCCTAATTTGAGTTTCAGATCCTGTTGTTTCTTAGTAATTGATCGTTTAGACAGTGTCTTGTTGGCATTTGAGCATCATTTTGCTTTGATCTTTTATTTGCAGGTGCTGTCCTTTTTATTGCGCTTATGGTAGACAGGTTACATCATTATATAAAAGAACTCCTAATCCAAAGAAAGAACATGGAAGCTATGAATAAAGAATCCCAGGAATTGAAGAAAGAAGCCCAAGAATTTAAAGCTCGAAAAGCTGAAGAAATCAAAGCCTTGGAAAAAGAAAAGCCGGATTGGGAGCTGAACTAGAAGGGCTGGAATTTGAACTTCAGAAAAACATAAAAAATGCAAATGTTGCAGAGGTCAATGCAGTCGCTCTGAGGAAGCAATCTGAGGGATTCCTTGTTGAATATGATCGCTTGCTCATGGAAAAACAAGAGCTGCGTGGCCAACTGCAATCCTTGGACTACCAGAAATTGTCACGCTCAGCTAGTAAGAAGAATATGTAAGAAACATTTCAGACAGGCATGGCCTCTCCATGTATGTCATTATGAAGGTGGTTTGCCAAATTGCCTGCTATAAATCCTTGTAAAGATGTTCCTTGAGAAATAGGTTTTCAAATTTTAGCTTCATTGACGGGCTGGAGAGAATTTGCATCAATTTTGTCCTGGTAAATTGTATTCTTTTCAATTGATAAGATAAAACGTAGTGTTGTCTTGTACTATCTGTGTGAGTGTGTGTGTTGGCCAGATGTAAAGGTGAGTTGATATCTTTTAATCAAAGATGTATAGGTGATTTACTTATGTCTCACCACTTCTCATTGAAGGGAGAAAGTGACTAGAAATAGTGCCTGGTGGTATATATGTATGTTATGCCAAAGGTCAAACCTGGATTTCTAAAGTAAGGATTCGCTGAAATAATGATAGAGAAAGGTAGATAGCAATAGGTCTCGCCCCTGCCCATGAGTCCCATAAAGTTGGGGTCCGCCTTGCTCTCCCTCTATCTTTCCCATCATTTCCGGGGGAATTACTTCAAGGGGTCCATTTTCCACTTAACTCATTCTGCATTTATCATTGTCCCGTTTTGTTGGGCTCCCTCCTAGGAGGGTTCTCTCTTCCTAACTGTTGAACTTTTTTTGTTACACAGATACAGCCATCTTAATCTTTTCATCATTTGATTAAAGTCATTTACCCGCTTTGACTTATTTTTTCTTGGTAGCTGAAATATGCATTAACCTAAGTAAAATAATTGAAAGTTGTTGATATCCGAGTGGTGCTATATGCTTTTCCCACTCATTTATTTTAATTGATGCAGTGTTTGGTTAACAGGATTAATGAAGAACACGAAAGTTTTGGAGTCAACTAATGTACCTCGGCTATCTTCTAACTCTGTTGCATTGGTTGACTTCCTTTTATTTTCCTTTCAACCAGAAGAAGAAAATTACGGCTTATATAGATCAATTTGAAGCTCATGGCGTTGTTCTCTTTTCTCTTCTCAAAGTTATTTCATCTTCTTGCTTCTGAGTTTATTATTTTGCTCTTTTTAATTTATTATGAGTAAGAAGAAGATTAAGCTTTAGATTTCTTACTTTCTATTATTATTAGCAACAGATAATTGAAACATTTTTATATAGCAGCCTCTCAATTTTGAGTACAGTGATCAGCATCAAGCCAGTGAAAACCAACACGGAAAGCACGCATATTGCCAACATTAACCCACAAACTGTGCTACCTTTTACCTCAAGCGCATATTCAACAGAGGCTAGACCAATGAAGGTCAAAGGGAATGAGTAAACCCACCATGTAACAGTCAACCTTCTCATTGATTTCTTGAAGAGAGCTGGCCTGCAAGCCTGTTTTGAGACAGAGAGATTACCATGTTACAATGCAAGAGGAAGAATAAACAAATCATTTACAATTCAAATGTGGAATCTGAATCAGCTGGGAACCTACCAGAGACACAAAGAGGAACAAAGATAGAAAAAATAGCATCTTTGATGGGGTGTCAAAAATCCCTGATATGGACTTCCAAGCTAGACTTGCCATGCTTGGAGCTGCAAAGAACAGAAAGTACGCTGGCCTCTGCACTGTGGGAAACCGATTGCTACTGGTTAGATGCTGATACAGTGTTACAAACAGAATCAGGTAATGTGCAAATCCAAGTGAGAACATTGAGACTGCACTCTCTTTCCAACCCGTCCCTGCCATGACTTGAGCAGCCACTAAGTTTCCTATCACTGATATCTGGCTTACTGGGTTTCCTACCACTGACAGGAACCGTTTATCGGTTGTAAACCATTGTCCATAGAGTTTCACATCCAGCACCAATATTGGAACTGAAAGTATCCAGCATAGACCCTGATAGAAAAATCTAGGAACAGTCATGGGTGCAGATTCAAGAATGAGAAGCCAAGAAATCCAAGGAGCATACATGTAGTTCCCTCCTATGTGATGTAAGAACTCGGTCTTCACTAGATCAAAGTGAAAGGAGCACCTGAGAATGTAAAGAAAAGATAGAGAAGCTGCAATGGATACAGAGAGACCCCATAGCAGGAGAAAAGCAATGGAAGGTAGTACATTAAATGCATGCCAGAGAGCTTGTGAGTCCATCTTGTTTTCACTCAAACTCTTCCATAATAGAGCTTGTGCACTGAGGGAAATGCATATGGAGAAGTAGCCTGCATGAAGTTGCGTTAAGATTTGTGACTTTGATGGTTTGCCGTTGTCATTTTGGTGGGTTTGGCTATGCGTGCTGGTGTTGACGGCTGGACCTATCACAATCTGAACAGAAGGTTTGATTGCAGAGTCACCCATCATATGATTTATAGTGTTGATAGGAGAGGCTTTGTCTATAAGATGAATTGTTTATCTTATTTTCTCACTGCAGGATATCTATACATTCAAAGTAGAGGATAGATGGAGCATATCTAGGTGCGAGACAAATTGATTTAGGAGGTGGCTGGAACGCTTTCAGGGACACGTGAAAAGATATCAAGTTGGTCTCCTAAAGAAAATTCTTGTCTGTCTGTGTCACTGTCCCCTCCCACGTAGGTTAGGATAATAAAACATAATACTTACTCAGATGTCACAATTAGGTTCTAGATGTGGTGATAAACTCAAATGAAAGATCCAAAGTTATCTGATGAAACTCGAATCTGAAAATATTACTCATGTTGTACACTGTTTGAGTCTCAGTTCTAGGAGCTTGTGTAAGTGACTGCTTTTGTGGGATTCATCTGCAGTTTTTGGATGAGTCTTAGGTGGTTTCTTGGTGGTCCATAGCCCTAATCTCTCTCAAAAAATGGGTTAGGTGAGTTTATCATTGGTAGGTGTGAAGTCATAAAGGGATCCTGAGCACCTTCGGTGACAATAACATTGAAGCAGTTATTTCCCATTGTCATTTTCAGCAAAGATAAATAGCGATGGATTTGGACCATTTGATGTCAAAAGCTTGTGAAGTGCCTCAGAAATAAGACAGTGGAAAGACAGTCAGTCTTGAACGCATTCATGTTTTGTTATCATTACCTCTTATAGCTCGCAGATACTTTAACTTCGGAATCTGAACTTTCTTATTATGCTATAGATTTCAATTATGTCACTTCCTTTATTTGAGACCCTCTTCCGTATTATAAATATGACTTCCACTATTGGACAATATAAGCTTTGCCGATCCATTCTCTACGTTGAAGTACTTCAATCAATCATGTTTTACTTGTACTAGGACACATCCAGCGAGCATGCAAGAACTTCTGTGGAAATTATCTCGCTGTCTTGCTTTCTTGTGGATCTAAAGTTTCTGTGGACAAAATCAAAAATCTCCAGGGCTGAATGAATATAGATTTAGGTGCTATGTAACTGGACGTGGCTCACTGTATAGCACATGGTTAAAGTTTATTCGATGATGTGCATAAACATTCGGTGGTTGTAAGCGGTTTAGATATGCCTTTTTGGTACACCTCCACTTTTATCTTTCAAGTATTAGAAGAAAATATGAAATGTTTTTGCTACACAGTATGCTGATATATGCAATAGACTCGGCTTGTTTTATTAGGAAAAAAAAATCTACAAATTATATTTGACAACTCTCTTATTTGAAAGATATTATTTTTCAGTTTGAATATTCTCCCATGATTGGAGGAAAGGAAGGGAAGAAATGAGACTTGTACCTACAGGTGAGCTTCATTCCTTCTGACATATTTATTTATTTTTAAACATTAAGTTACATAGATATCAGAATATTTAAGGGGGAAATCAGAATAAAATGTTGAATTAAAGTAGTGGACAAAATGGATGGTTGGAAGGGTTAGAGAGCAAAAGGAAGAACAACAAATAAAAGCAGTGATGTTGATGCATTCATTTATCTATATTTTCATTCATTCATTACATATATATTTTTATCTTTTTCTTTAGCCTCTTTCCACGTGCAGTGGCCTAAAATTGCTGATGATCATGATCTCTCTCTCTCTCTCTCTGCTTTTCCCAACTTAGCACAGGTTTTCTGGTTGTGGATTCCACCTTATCAGTTAATAGGCATCATATCTGATGTTTCATGTCCTTTCATAGGCAGCTAATTAGTTGTCTAGCACTCTAATTGACATATTGCCAACAGTCCAAAACTGACTCAGATTGCATTTTAAGCAACTCTTGACTATTCCGTTGACCTACCCTTCTTTTGATGTCAAACTCACTATTTGGGACCTTTTACTCATTGGCCGATTGGCGTATAGGCAATTTCATTTTTTAAAAAAATGAAAAAATAAATTACACACAATATTTGCTAAAAATCATTTTTTAAAGATGAAGTCTTTTACATAAATGTAGTTTAATTAAAATTTTAGTCATAAAATGCCCCGCAAAGCTTAGTTTAGCTGGTAAGAATACTACTCATACCTCAATAAAAATATAGGTTTGAGGTTCTGTACTAGTATGGGGATCTTATTAATGACTGATACGTAAATACTTATGTCAGTACTTTTTGAATCTTAAGATATATTTTAACCGTAACGAGTTCTTGAGACCCAGCTAATCTAGGTATTTTTGGTAGCAAAAATAAATTCATAGAATGCTTTTAATCTAATCAGAATATAGTTTTTTTTTTTTAAACAAAAAGAGAGAAATAGCTGTACTTATCTTTCTGAGAAAGCAATGAATCAAAGGAAATGTGTTCATTGAGATCATTCTAAAAGCTGAAGTTAACCAATTTAGGCAATGATTTTAGAGTTGACATAATTTAAAAAGATGAAGTGAAGTGAGTTAGGTGATGATGGAATAATTTTTTTCCTAATGCCTCTCAGGATATCCCATGCAAATAAAAAAAATCAAATTTTGTGAGAGAGGCTACGCAATACCCTATCACCAAACCTAATGGGGCAAATAATAAAATAAAAAGAAATAGTGGGTTGGATGAGATGGAAATTATAATCATGCCAATGCCTTTTTTGTTAAAAAAAAATTTATGAAAAATGCTTGCTTATTATAGAGGACGAGAGGTACTCAATGGGCTGGGCCAGATTATCTACTTTCACAAAATAAATGGAGGTGGGTTTTAAAAAAAAAATAGAAAAGTGAGGTGATAAAACACACTCAAATAATAATTCACTATCTTTGTCCATGGATTCAGCTGGTGAAGGAATCGGACTCTCTCACCAAAAAGAGGGGATTTGATCCTGAGAAGTGCCACTTTGTGGTGGCTCCAGTCACGGCATTAGGAGAGGCATCTCTATAGCATAGTAAAGCTAGAAGAATCCTACCTATTGGGCCAGAAAAAAAAAAGGCTTGCTTGTCATGTTCCTGTGCCTATAGGGATAGGTCCCAGTAAATCAAGTGTTAAGTGTTCTGTCCTTGGATCATAGGTGAGCCCAACCCCTTTTTTAAAATTTTTATCGCAAAAAAAAAAAAGAAAAACTTACTTAGCCTAGCACAAAATATGTTATTTAAACTATACATGTATATATATTTAATTAACCGAAAAATCATTTAACTTCCCCTCTCCTAGATCCTTTTTTATGAAAAATATTTGAAGAATAGAGTTTCCAAACAACACAAGGTTAACAATAATGTAAATCCGTTCAATTGAACATTTGGGATTCATAGGTTGAAACTAGAACACATTTTGTTAATGTTTGTATCTTTCTTGTTTATGCTAGCAAACTTTAATATCTCATCTTAAGATATTTATATTTGGGGTTAAATCAATTGTGATCTAGTTTCTCATGAACCAAATAGAAAGTCACAGCTGCTCAAGAGAGCCTAGCTTTCCTAAATAATCATCATCATCATCATGATGTATACAAATATTGCCTCAAAATTTGAGCTACTCACCTATTATCATTTATGTTGGCCACATGTGAAACCATTATAGCCCATAATGCCTCTCTCCAAGCAAATCATGAAAAATTATTTCCTTATTTTCAGATTCAATTTTCCTCTCACAAACAATGATTCTTACACATGAACACTCATAATAACCTAACAATGATAATCCTTTGTTACAACCATTGCATTTTCTGCTGTAACAGCAAGCCTTACAATTCTCATTAGTATTACACAGAAACAACCCAGTGGTGATTACCGTTTTGGGTTCATAACAATGCACCAGGCTGGTATCATTTCCAAGGTTAACATTGTAATTCTGTTTTGTCTCATTGCTATTATTTCTCACCGTGAGCCAATCCTGTTCTTCCCATCCCCAGTTGGGCTCGATGCCGTCAAACGACGTCGTAGCTTCTGTGCACAGCCTGCGAATCCTGTCCCTGCCAGAATTGCAGGAGCGAGCACGGGTCGGATCTTGGGTGGGCTCCCACGAGTCCCAGATGGATCCATCCATTACGCCAGTTGGAGTATCCGACTTCGAGGTTCCAAATTCTTTCATGGACGAAATTGATTCTTCCACAAAATCATGTCTGAGGAGCTCGCCCACGGACCATCGTTCATTTGGGTCTCTCTTCAGACACTTGCTCACAAAGTCCCTCCCTTGCTCCGACATGAACCCGGGAATCTCCGGCACTTGGCCTGAGAACCCGATTCGATAAACCGCACTTACTGGGTCGGATACGTCCTGCCAGGGAGCTTTCCCGGTGATCATCTCCAGCACAGTACATCCCAGAGACCACACGTCGGCGGCGAACCCCTGTTGCTCCCCACGCGCCACCTCCGGCGCCATGAACACTGGTGTCCCAGCAACCATTCCGTCGTGACTCCCTGCCTCCGACACCCCGAGCACAACCAAAGTCTGCAATTTTAGCCCCTTCCTCCGTCAGCAAAACATTCTTACCTTTAACATCACAATGCACCATGCCATTAGAATGAAGATGACCCAGCCCTAGCAAGATTTGGCGCGCATAGGTTCGAACCACCGCCTCTTCTAGTCCCTCTCGCCGGCGAGCCGTGTCGGCGAGCGTTCCATAAGGTGCATACTCCATGATCAGATTGTACCATAGTACACTACTCTCTAACGTAACATCATAACCTTGGTATGCTACTATGTAAGGAGATTTCAATGTGGACAGAATTTTCTGTTCCCTTTGAAGCAACTCCGAGCGGTGGAGCTTAGCCGACTTAACCGCTAACAAGTGACCGGACCGGCAATCATGGGCAATCGAGACAGTGGCGGTGGCACCCTGGCCAACGGTTGGACCCCTAGACCAGTCCATAGAAGAGGCTCTATATAGCTTGGAGTTCGGAGCTCTATAAAATATGAAGGTTTAGGCTTTTTCTGTTAGGAACCACACTTCTGCGTTACCCATATATATATGTGGAAAGGTTTAAATAAAAGTTTGGTTTGGTGTGGTTGGGTTGAAGCAAAGCGATGTGGGCAGTACAAAGTTGTGAGATTTAAGAATCTAGGAGTCTTTAGTTTTAGGTTGTGTTCACATCTTCTCACACAACTGTGCTGGGAGTGATCCACGTTTCAAAAAGAAGTATGTGGGGCTAGCAACCTTTTTTAGTTAATTGGCCGGCAATGTACATTGCTTAACGAAGTTGGGGAAATTAATACATTCACAAGGCACGTACGTAGACGAAGAACGAACCTACTTGTTCAGCAAATTAAAATGATGATATTATTATTATTATTGTTTTCGAAGTTTAAGACGCGCCTAATTAAGTTAATGTAAAGTATCCTAAAAAAAAACTAAAAGTTTATTATTTGACTCGTTTAAAAAATATGAAATTTAATTTATCAATGTTGTTTAAATGCTGTGCTCATTTTTTAAAGTTGACTTTTGGGTTTTAAAACTGGAGTCGTTTATGAATATACAGGAGATGGTGCACATGGAGGCATGTGCGGATGCGTGGATTGGTAACTGGGGCGCAGGGGCTGGTTCGTGGAGTGATAAAGTGCACAACTATATGCAATGCACCACAAGATTTAATGATTTAATGGCGCATTCTACATCTTTAGTATAAGAGCTAATTAGAAAGTTAAGTTTAATTTCTAATGTAATGTTTCAATTCATTTTATTTTTCAAATTTATCGCTTTTTCCCCCTTATATATCCCTATTGATTGTAAGGATTCTTATCAAAGGATGGTTTCAATGCACATGAATGAGGATGGTTTACTTTTACACACGTCTGTTACAATTAATTAACTTGACTAATTTTTTTATTTTATCAAATTAGTTATTTAACTCCTATATTAAAAATCATACAGCTTTGTATATATATCAAAGAGGATTCATTGTCCCCCATCAACTACTCCTCCAATCCTAAATATAAAACTTATTTTATAGTGTAATTTACACTACAAGATAGATCTTATATTTAAAACTACAGGAAGTATAATTTTTTTACTGTGCAGGATATGGATTTGTGAAGGAGCCGAGAATACTCGTGTAAATAATAATAGCTTTGATAGTGGGTGCTCAATAATAGTTTGCAAGTAGTACTCGCTCCTTATAACCTAATGCTAATGGCATGAAAGTTCTTCTGCAAGGAAGAGTCGAAGAGATTACAAGCTCGAGCTCGTTTGTAATTTCAAGTTATTAGTGTCTACCTCTTTAAATAAAAAAATATTGCATCTAGTTTTTAATATAAGAATTAGTTGAGGGATTGAGTTTGGTTTTAAATGTAAAACATCAATCCATTTTGTCCCATAATAGTTACTATTTTTCCCAAACTATTCATACCTTTTTCATCGAACCAAATTGTTCATATTGATTGCACATGTTAAGAGAGTTTGCTTAATAAATAGTTTTAATATCAATAATTCAAGATGATATTTTAGAAAAGCCAACCTATATATTGACGACTAACTAATTTAACTGGTTTTAGTCTATCCAAATTACATGAGTAGATCTTATATTTGAACACTAATATGGCACATTTGAACACTAAGCCTAAAAAGCATTATTGCAAGAAATCAAAATCCTTACTCCTTCTTATCTTGAAAGTAGAAATTAGATATTCATATCTTGGAAAAAAATTAGGTTGAGTTATTGATTTTTCTAAGATACATTTTCTTTCAATTATTTACATTAGAAATCACCCCAATTAATTGTATATATAATCAGAATAGTTTAGAAAAATTACAAGAGAGACTAATAAGATTAAGATCTTACGTTTAAAATCAAAACAAACTTATCAGCCACCTTCTACATTTTCGTATCCTAAAAAGAAATACCACACAATAATGTGGCATAGGATGCATAAGTTAGATTATTTGAAGCGAATGTGACAGGGTGTTAGTTGACTTGCATTAGCAAAAATGTATTTTAATATATATATATATGTATATATATGCTCAGAGTTGTTTGACTTGAAAGAATGATCGTGTACTTGTACGCAATTCTGGTGGCTGCAATAAGAGAATGCTGTTGTTGTTAGGAGAAGGAAAGCAATGCAGATGATAGCATATTGACAAGAGTTAAAAAGAGGGAGGATTCAATTCACTAGATATATCGATAAATGAGGGATGGAATTAGGCAAAAAGTGATTGTAATTAAACTTCGTGCATGTTTGACTTTTGACTGCCTAATTATTTCTGCACGTTCAAGATGGATCATTATTAATTAAAATGCAATGTACGTAGTCCACAAAAACAAAAACATGTCTAGTTTTGTGACTACGAGGTTAGTTCAATGATGTGTCCATATATCCTATTCACTGCTTTTGTAGCTCCTTAACAATAAAGGCATCCACTTCTAAGTCAATTGTTTGTCAATTTTCAACGGCTCATAGCACGCTGAAACTTGGATAGTTCTATGGGCTCTTCTCTTTTTTAAAAAGAAAAAATCATTTGTTTTCGTTTTCACACTAATAAATAAAATTTACTGTTCAGGAATTACCAGATTTCAATGGATGATTCACATTGTAATGGGATATTGTATGAGGAAGAAAAAGTGTTAAATTCTCCTTAAAATTTTATAATTTGTCTTATAAATAGAAAGAAATCATTCTCCAAAATTTATAAACTAGAACAGAGTATTTGTAGGCCTATGCGGAATCAGTAGCAATAAGCAGATTGTGAAATCCGTCTTACTTTGTAGGGACTATTCTTTTTAGTCCTTTTCAGAATTCAGCTGATTAAATTTTTAAGATGAATATATTATTTTGTATTGCATTTATTACAGTATAAATACCTTTTTTTAAAGAAAAAACGTATATATTAAATTTGGATAAGATTAAAAAGTTGTTATATTATCTTCAATATAAAAGTCAGTTGATTAATTTGAGTAGATTAAAAAAGTTAAATTAGTTATTTGTAATAAATAGGTGCTGTCTTTCCTAAAATATTATTGTTAATCATGTTTATTAGGTAGAACTACTATTAATAAAACATTTAACATATACAATTACTACAAAAACTACTTTGAAATAAATAAATAAATATAAAAGACAAAATAAATTAGAGTCTTATATTTTAGAATAAATTAAAAATTAGATTAATATTTATATTAAAAATCAAAGATAATATTTTAAAAAAGAGTTAATATAATTTAAAATTATTCTTTGCCTATGCAAAACATGATAAAAATACTTTATAGAAGAGGAGGAGCACTTTGGAAAAAGCGAAAGCGTGTGGGCTTGTGATGATCAGTGTAAAGAAACTGGGGACAGTTGGAGCGGAGTCGGAAGAAGCAAATACAGCTAATTAACCTCTTTCACATTAATTACCCTGTAAACACCCCCCCCCAAAAACAAAAAACCAAAAAAAAATCTCTTTTGTATTAATTAACTCTATTTTATTAAAAAAATACTTACATTAAGCATATTTATTAAGTCAAATTTTTCAATCACATATAATCATTAATTATATGAAGATGTCACAATCTTCAGCATTTAATAGAAGCAATAGTAAACAAGTGTGTTAATATTATTGTTAGTTCTTGTAATTTTATTCAATTTTTAGTCTTTATAGTTTCATATGGTTGATTCTGGTCCTTGTAATTTCATAAAAAAAAAAAAAACCTAGTTTGATTTTAAGTATAAGGATTAGAACCAAAATTTGTTAAAAACATAGAGATCATTCATTAAATTCTTGATTAAAAAAATTATGATGTCATAGAAATCAAAACCGGCGATTTAAAATTATAAGAACTAAAACACAAAATTAGATCAAACTATAAAAACAAATGATGATATTAGCCTTAAATAAATATTCTTCCGATTCTAAATGTAAGACATATTTTGTACTGTAAATTCTTATATTTAGGATCAGACGAGTAATATCTTATTAATTATGCTTATGGATTTAAACATGAATATTTGGATATTAATCAGCACTGAACTTGACTTGAGCGGGAGGATTTGGAGGTTGAAAATGGAATCCAAAGAAAATGCCATCACGTGTCGTCCATAAACGCAAAGTGCCGTATGAATTTCTTTGTCCTTTTTCCGATGACTATGCAACAAAACACGCATTATTCATCAATCAGTACTAAAGAAAGAAAAACACGCACGTCCCCTGGGTTCAATCTCATATCCTTCATTTAGCCTCTTTCAATTCAAATAACGACAACAACTAAGGGAGCGTGTTGTAACATGCAAAAGCAAAAGCATAATCTACTGCTTTATTTTTATTTTTTTTGGAAAAAAAATGAAAATGGCTTTGAAAAGTGAAATATAATTTTATATATTATCATCACTGGTCATTTGATTCTCCAGAAACAGGACCTTGCTTGCTTTGCCTTTTGATGACTTATCCAGCAAGGTTAGGAACTATTCTTCAACATTTCAGCTCCTTTCCAACTATATTCGGGACAACTTTGCACCCCGGCTATTGTTTGGATGATATCAAAAGATTCTAAATGTTTATGTAGGATTTCAATGATACTGTAACTCCACACTTCTCAATATTATACTACCCCTAGTTTTGATTATAAAACCTTATTTGTAATCTATAAACAAGATCTTGTAATTAGAACCGAAGGTATTACTATTCTAGTAACTATCACAAGGCACTTTCTTTTTTCCTTTTTTTTTTTTTTTTGCCTTAGAGTATCTGGTGTCTCAAGCCATTTGAAAAACTCTGTGAACACAAACTAATTCGGACTTGAGTCGAGAAGAATATTTTTGAGTGGTTAGGCTTTACCACCTACATGGATGCATTTTCAGGACTCAAACTTGAGACCTCTGGTTAAGAGGAAACAATCCTTTTACTAGTAGATCCAAACACTCGGTATTATCATAAGATACGTTTTAGAAGAATTGAATGACCATTATCATAAGCCATCAAAAGAGGTATTAAATGTCCAACAACAAAAAAGAGGTATCAATTACATATTTTAATATTGCTCCTATTTAAAGTTTGATATAGTTTTCTTTTTCACCTCTTAAGATGTAATTCAAGGTTTTGCATGAGTAAATTAAAAATACTTATTTTCAAACAAGTTTAATGACTTAATCACCTTTTTTTTAGTTTTGACAGTTTTAACAAGGCAATGGGAGGTGCTAGGAACAGGAAGAAGTACCATTATATTTAGTGAATTGTTTTGTCTTTGCTCCTTCAATTAAACATTAAATTAACCTCAAAAGAGTGGTTCAGATGAATTTAGTATTTTATATTAAATTAGTGTTAATTTTGTCATATTTATAGCACAAAACAATCATTTTTTCACAAAGAAATAAATATTGGCTTGCCAACCTGATTTTGAAAGAAAGATGGACACAGTCAAACGTGTATGGGATCAAACTCAGTTTAAATTCACATGGAGTGTTTTGTCCTATTTTCAGCCAGATCTTGTTCTTGTAGAATATTGGGAACAATGTGTTCTTTAGTTACAACCATAATATGGAGCGTTTGTCCTATTTTAAGCCATTAACGATGGACGATGCAATGTTATTTAAAGAAGCAGTAATTTATTTCTCAGAATCTTCTCTTAGAGAAGGGAATATTCCAAAGTTGCTCAGATTTCAAGCATCGCCATTAACTTCATCAACAAAAAAATATAGTTAGACGCCTTTCAAGTAATCCCAACTCAAAATAGTTGTATTTTTTTATTACCCCTTAATTTAATGATGTTTCTTGTATCCAATGGATATTAATCACACATACATGGCTTAGATACACACATAAACCAATATCAACTGAAACATTAGCAGTTCACAAGACACCTCATGAACATATTATATATATATATATATATATATTTATATATTCTTCATGCAGCTCTGGCAAATCCCACCCTCAAGTTACCATAATCAAACACTGTGTGATAGGGACCCATGAAAACATCCCCAAGAATCCTGCATTATGCAGAGATCAATCATCATGTCAGAATCTGATCAAATTCTTAGTATCAGCATCGTGTTCATGTGTTTTCAAGAGAGTTAATTTTTTGTGGTAGTTTGAAGACAAAATTAACAGAATGTAGATAGGGCACAGTCATGGGGTATGTACCAGATAGGGCCACGAGGAGGAGGCACGTCCAAAGCAGTGAAACCACTGATGCATTGAACTTGAGCACCTTCTTCATCCTTGAGAATGTACTGAATACAAACAATAGGGATTTGTTAGTACAACAGAGAAATTTTGGTAAGGAAAGAAACTGAAGACAATGAGACTAGAAGCTTTGCCTCATTCTCTGTTTTATTTACTGATGATTCATTTTCTCATCGGGAAAAACAAGGATGATGAGGGGCTTCCATCTTGTAGTGATGAATGCGATTTGATAGTAAAAGTTTTAGTTTTAAATATCTGTTCTGTTTATACATGTGAAAGAGACAACATTCAGGGAATATTACATCATTGGGAGAAAGGTCAAAAGTTTTTCCGCCAATAGTGAAGGAAACAGTAGGCATTGAAGGGATCTTTCCACAGTCAACAAGTGCTTGTCCCAGTTTAACACAGGCCTGCAATATCACCACAAGGTATAAAACTCAGTCCAAACTCAACTTCATTCACTTTTCCTCAAGAAATTAACAGCACAAAACTTTAAAAGAAAACTAGACATAATCTCATGATCATACACATTATCACCAATAACAATAACAACAGGCCTTATCCCACTAGAACCGTTGTGTTTTATCAACAAATAAATCGCCGGATGTTTACTACTTAAGTAGAATTGACCTTATTGAGATTGCTTAGTATCTGATCCTGTGTCTGATCGTGCCTCAGCTGGTTTTGCATCCAAGCAACAGCCATCTCACAGGTAGAACAAGTAACATGACCAGCAGATTTTCTTTCATTCTTATCCACCACACTCTCAATATCCATGCTGAAAACAATATATAGACTCTTCAATATAATATCAATCATATTAAAAATAAAATGATGCAACTTCCCTAAAGGGTACTATCTTTTGAGTTTTGAGCTTTACCTAACTCCACGAGTCCCATCAAACGCGCACAATCCAATTTGGGAACATATCTTCTCTGGTTGTGCCTACATGAGTAAACATAAAATCCATATCAAGATTCATCCTCTGCAAAATGATAAGATCCTTCTTTTTAATAGATTAACAAAATTTATTTAAAGTTCTGATAAGCGAAACCAGGCTGTGAAGGAATGAACTGGAATCTGAATACTTTAGCTAAAAGCAAGTCCAGGATTGTTGATCCATGGTGATTAACAACAGTCTTGCATTCTTGGCTAGCAACTCCATCTCCATAAGCCCCAATGGCTTCATTGATCGCATTAATTGCATCCTATGAGAACAAAACCATTTGTGATAAATGATAACAGAAACCAGCTGCTCACAAGCATTTGTCAAAGCATTTCCCTTGGAAGTGCATTTAAGACATTTGAGCTTCAGACAATTGCAAGACCTCGGATGACTTTTTTCTGAAACATCCACACTTCATATGGAAAACTAAATTCTGAAATGAAGTGATGAAAAGGAACAACTATATAAGTAGTTTGATCATACCGAGGGACCTGTGATTAAAGAAGTCCCTGAATCTGCAATTGCTGCACAGCCATCGGGACATGATCCTGATTCACAATATATACAAAGTCAGAACCATCAATCAATTACAACATTAAATGCCATGTATAGAAACACTACTAAGTCGTAAGCAAATATATAGATATATATATATTTCTACTGATTCATTTCCTACACATACCCATTGGTTTACCAGCAACAAGCACATCACCCATGTCAAACTGTTAACAGGACAGAAAATTGCAATCAGCAAAAGGAACAAGGAAAAATTATACAGGCAAATGCCAAGAAGATAATAACGGAAAAAAGAAAAGAAAAAGCTAATGAATAACCTGCCAATAGCCTTTTCGTGTCACAGGGACATAAGTGTGCTTGCCGTGGAAGTGAGCAGCATCAACACCACCAAAAACAATCTCACCCCCTCTCTCATCTGATGTGTTTCGATTGAGCCAGAATGAAAATACTTGTTCCTTAATCAGACCTTGATTGATCATATTGTACCTGAAACAGACAAGTGTTTAGTAAGTAAGCCTTTTCATGAATGAGGCTGAACTGAGTGTCAATTTTGGCTTCAGTAAAAATAAATCTAATGAATCAAAATTTAAATGTTAAAACATACCACAGAGGAACAGAATTTCCAACAGATATCTCTTGGAAACCAAGTCCTACCAAACCATCAAACTTGGCTGCCACAAATGCAGAGCCAGGCTCCTTAGTTGCTTCAATGAAATCCTGATTGGCAGCAAAAGGTCGACTTCATCAGCGTAGTAATTAACGTATAATGAAAAATCATATCAAAACAGAGAAAACATAAGAGAGAAGGCACTGATAAAGCCATTACCTGGTTCTTTACCACTAAGCCACCAACTTGGACATTGTCATAACTGAAGAAACCAGTAATGGCTCCACTACCATATCGAATTGCAGCAGGAGTCCCTACAATGGAGAAAGGAAAATTCTTGCGTCAAATGGGAAGAGGAAAATTCCCGACAAGCCCTTCTGTACTTTCAAAATGTCCGGTGGCCCAAACACTGCTATGTTAGAATACAAAAAAACTCAGAATTAAATCAGCACCATCAATGTTTGCATCTGATGTGTTACGTTTTCACTTATTCCATTATTTTCAATATATATATATATTTAAACAAATGTGCTAATTTTTGTTTGTAGCATGCATTTACAGATAAAGTCAGCTCCCACTTCAAACTGGCCTCACAAATTAATAGAAACTATACGAAGCCGCACTATTCACAGCTCTGTGTCCGGAGCTTTGTGTAATGCATGAGTCTCGAATTATAGATGATTGGAGATAAAACTGTATCAGTCACAACTCTATTGTTCACAATTTATTAGCAGTATGATTCCTATGAACATTCACTTTCCATTCTAAATAAACTTGATTTTTCAAGTCAAAAATGGAGTTATGATCAATTACCTAAACATTACTCCGTCTATATATACACAATACAAATAAACCCACAAATTCTTAAAAAAGGGCGAAGAGATGGAGTCGGGGAAGTCAGGGAATTGCAGGATTTGGAGACAAACCATTTGGCCTGTACGTTGTTGATTGGCTAGACCTGTACTTGGCATGGACGTAGCATGAAAGCTGCACACAAATTCAAAGTGCTAGAATCAGGCAATTCATATGGTTTGATCCAACGCACAATTAAGATACAAATAGCCACATTCGTAGGCCCCACCTATCAGAGAAATCCTTTTCCGTTGCATGAAAATGAAAATCAAGATGCATAATGATTATTACATCCTCTAATCATCATTGCTCAGCAAGAACACTACTTCTTTTCATTATCAATTTTTATCTAGGACATATATGACATTTCACATCAAAAAATTAATCTTTGTTTCTTTACCTTTACTCAACGAGCTCTCGTCATTGATTGAGGATCCAAGTATGTTTGCGTGTGTGAATGTGTGTGTGTGTGTTTATTTTTTTTTTTGGGGGGGGGGGGGTAGAGAGACTCACAGAGGTAAAACATTTATCGGATGGGACCCAGGTATTGGAGCTGCCGGTATCAAAAAGAACAGCGAACTTCTGAGGAGGGGTACCAATGGCGATATCACCATAATACTGAGCGTCTAAGAAATTCTTGAGTCCCACAATTTCACCTTCTGCTTCATCAATATCACTAAGACCGTACTTTCTGAGGAAAGCCCGGCCCACTTTCATCTTCTTCAGCCCAATCCTTGGAAGCCCATTATAATCAGAAGCGCACAGCCCCACGCAAAGCCATGCAAACAAACACAGCATCACAACATGCGCATTTCTATTGCTTCTTCCCATCTCCATTCCCCTGTCCTGTCAATCATCATCATCACCACCTTCAGAAACATATATCACAACCAAAGCTGTACAACAATATTCTTTTTCTTCAAATCGCAGAGTAACAAATCAAAATAAAAAATAAAGTTGAAATCTTTGTATATGCAAAATAAATGTCCATCGTGAAGTGAGTTTCATCTCTCTTCTAAAGTTGCTACGTGAATAAGAAATTGTAGGTTCATTCTCACTTGTAATCTCAGGTCGTTGATACCTACCTGACCGCATAAATCTGGACCTGCCTAGTGGCATAAAACTGGATATATAAATGTGAAGTTTCAGGTTTGATCTTACTAGTTTAATGCCATAAAGCTATCCGAGACTGCGGGTTCGATTCTGCTTGTAATCTCATGTAGTTATCATGTGTACTTTTAAATTAAAAACAAAAAACAGTATGAAGAGTCCAAGTTAAAGTAAAAGATGCATGTAACATATTTCGCCTTGGGAATTCATGATCATAAGAGAAAAAGAAGATGAGAAGAAAGAAACAACCACAAAGAAAAATGTACTAACCAATTATTGCTGAAGCTGAGAAGAGAGAATTAATGGCGGAGCACAGATGAAGAGCAGTGGAAGGGAAAGTGAGGAAGTGGTGAGAATTTAAAGACCGGGAAAACCCGGGAGTGATGTTTCATGCAGGGGCAGGTGGGACCCACAGAAAAGCGCTCTTTCGGTGTCATCCTGAAATCCCCGCCGTCCGCTTCATCATGAAACGGACGTCGGACGGTGATGAGTGGGCATGGAGGTGACGTGGAATATATGACACTAAAATAAGTTGGATTAACTGAAAGCTTACGTTGCTTTCGCTAGCACGACACTCCTTCACATTGCCCACACTTTCCTCTCAATGCTTGTTTCACTCACCAGCTTCAAATTATATATTCAGATCCTTTTTGCATTAACGAAAATCCTTTTCATTGTGTATAATTATTTATACAAAAGTTATTATACAGTATTTATACGTGCAATATATATAATCATTGGCTTTGTGAGTATAAATTTTTTTTGTATATTTGCACATTGAATTAATGCTTAATTTTAAATTTTGATATTAGATAATCAAACATCAGATTTTGTCATATACTATCTCCAGACCTCAATCCACTTTGTATCCAATATTTATCTATTTTTCTCTCAAAATAGTTTCTATGGTAATTACATATCTTAAAATTTTTTTGCCAATTATTAGTTCTAATGCACATGATTATTAGAGATATTTTGAAAAAAAAACAATATCAATCTATTACAAATAATTATTAATATTAAAGGAAAAAATATTTTACTCTATTTTAAATATGCATGCAAAGGTCACTCTTGCAGTTACGACATAAAAACTAAAAAGTTTCCTCTCACATTTTAATATTTGTGGACTTTTGGTTCCAATAAAAAAGAAACCATGAATAAATGTGCAAAGTAGTGTGAACAGATGAATAGCATGGTTTGGATTTAATTAGTTTCTTTAGAGTAAATAAATAATGAAATGTTTTTTTAAGAAGTGAGAAACAGAAACCAAATATTATCCGTAGTACACACACACACACACACACACATATATATATATTCCTTGATCCTTTTTTATTATTGAGAATTCTTTTATTATTATTATTATTATTATTATTATTATTATTATTATTATTATTATTATTATTATTATTATTATTATGTTGTCGTGTTCTCTAGCTGCAAGCAATTGATCCCAATAAGGTTGGCAAAGAGGGTATCAAGCAACAATTAACATTGATTCGTTTCAATCATTATATACGAAACTCAATCATTCAGAATCACAATATACTCTATTAATGTTTTTTTTTTCACAACAAAAATTAATGCTTTTATCGAACTAATTTTTATTCTTCTTTGATTTTAAAGTAGGTTATGGCTGTTTAGTTCTATAACTTGAATTGATCAAGTAAATTTTAAAATTAAAAAAAAAAAAAAAAAGCGGGGCCGTCTTCATATTTATTATTATACTTTACTTTTATCAAAATTTTAATTTCAAATCAAGCTTTTTTTTACTGCTGACGTGAAATTAAGAAAATAATAAGAATAATTTTAAGATTTATTTCGTCTGTGTACATACACTTACCTAAGTATTTTCCATATGTATTGTTTCTTGGTAGATCCATATATATATATATATATATATATATTGGAAGGTTGGAAAATTCGATCTCTAATGTAAAACCTAATTAACTAATTTAAATCAATTAATAATATTATTTAAATTAGTTAATATGATATGATTTTTAAAAACACCTCAAGCATCTTTTTTAATTTTCTTCCCCCTTCTCCTATTTAATTATTGTTAAGGGAATATCAATAAAGTTAATTTAAAAAAAAATTGATGATGATGTGAAATAGGTCTTATATATAAATCAATATCAATTCTTTAATTAGATCTTATATTAAGCATCAGAAAAGTATATTTGAAGCATCAACAAATTTACTAATTTTTTTATTGTGTCTGTAATATATGGGCCTGAATAAGAAAGCAATTATGGCCCAATAAGCAGATTGGGACTCAAAGCCCAAACCAAATCAAGTTTTCAAACAAATCAACACAAAAGTTAGTCACTTGTAAAACTAAAATTTAAATTTTTATTAAGAGAGGTATCTATATTTAATATCAATAATACTTTAAATATAATTGATTTTAATAAAAGGATATGTATGCATAGCAAAAAAAAATTATAACACGGAAAAAAAAAAAAGGAAGTAACAAAATCAGAATATACATTATCCTACCCCAATCTGGATGGTACAAATATTATTACAAAGTTATTTTTTAACGGTAGTTTCAAATGCAGAGAATCCAAAAATGAATCCGTTGCATTTGTTTGATTATATTTAGTCGAATACTTTCAGCCTTTTCTTCTTTTATAAGAAGTGGTAGTAATAGCTAGTAATAATGATTAAAAAAATTTGACAAATATACTATAGAGAACAAAATCAATAGATTTAAGACTAAAGCATGCATTTGGCCTTTTAATTTTGTACAAGATTTTGATTTATTCCCTTAACTTTAAAAAACATACTTTTAGTCCTTTAACCCTAAAAAAATTTTTAAAAAATGATAACATTAAGATCTTAAAAATTGATAAAATATTTTCGAATGCTAACATATTAAGTTTAATTTTCAAAACATCCATGATTGTTACAGAAAATCATCATTAAAACCTAATAATTTTAGAGTTAAAGGACTAAATGTATGTTTTTTAAAGTTAAGGGACTAAATTGAAACTTGATACGAAATTAAAGGACTAAGTGTATACTTTAACCTAGATTTAATGTTTGACGTGAATTTACTTGTTCTACTTAAGGCATTGCCCTTAATTACTTTTAAACTAATAATTAACACGCAAGATGTGACAAATTTTTTATTTGAAGGTTAAAATAATAACAAGGAGATTGATGTTACGAACAGTTTACAAATTAAATTTGATTGCAACGCATTTACTTAGATGAGTTGAGTTAGATCTCAAGTGTCCGTTAGGGTTAGAGCATGTATTTAGGCTAAAGCACTGATAAATTGCTCACAAACAAAATCTTTACATTAGTAATCAATTTGAACACACAACCAATTATAAATTATGAGTGAATCATTTACTTATTAGACCGATTTTTGTTTGCATTATTATCTAATACTATCTCTGGGTTTTTAATATAAAAGCTAGTTAAAAGGTTAAATTTGGTTTTAATTATTATAAGACCCCAATCTACTTTATCTTTCGTTTTTTTTTTCAAAATATCCCTATTGATTGTAAGAGGTTGTCACTAAGGAGTAGTTCTAATGCACATAATTAAAGAGAATTTTTTGGCCGGGCCAACACACATTTGTAACAAAATAACTAATTATTTAACTAATTTTCTTAATATCTTGAAATTAGTTATCTAATTCTTATATTAAGAAGCAGAGCTAGTGTATTCAGAGAAAGCTTATATGAAAGAGATGCAAAGGAAACTAATAAGGACATTAAAAGAAATAGTATTGAAGCGATGATATAGACTGAGAGATGAATTTTGTGTATTCTTTTTATACACATTGTATTTTGTAAGATGTTAAAACTTTATCGTAAGCAGAATATATTCCTTATACAAAGAATGAAGAGATAACTTCTGTTATCACTACAAAAAAAACATGCTTTTAGTGAAAGAATTTTTTATTTAGTGATGGAATTAGTGACGAATTAGTGATAGATTAGCGATGTAAACGGATTAACGACAGAATTTGTTCCGTCGCTAATTGATTAGTGACGGAAAATTACATCGCTAATTACTATCGGAAATTTTCCGTCGCTAATCCATTGTTAACTCAATTTTTTAAAAAATAAAATAAAATACCACGTGGCACCTCTACCAATTGCCACGTTATCACTGGAGACCACCTTCACGTGTCACTGCCACCTCACCTCTGCCTGTCACGTGTGTTGCCACCTCACCTCTACTGCTACATCACATGTCACCTTTGCCTGTCACGTGTACTGCCACCTCACCTCTGCTGCTATATCACATGTCACCTTTGCCTGTCACATGTTGCCACCATATAATTCCCTCCTCAAAATGACTTCTCCATGGCTTGAACCCAGGGACCTTCTCTATACACGCGTACGGCTTTACCAGTTGAGCTGCAATAAATCTGTTAACTTATTATGTAAAATTAAATATATATAATATTATTTTACACAAACAATTATATATTATTAAAATCTAAAAATATATATGATAATTTTAATCATAACTATTTTAATGAAAAAATAATTTTTAAATATTTGTTTTATTATGTTTTATTTTTTAAAAAATATTTTTAATATAATTTTAATTTCTAACGACACTAATTTTGAATTTTAAATCATATGTAATTTTTTTATAAATATTTTTTAAATTTATTTTTTAATTAACATTGATAAGATGTACAATTTAATGATATATGTATTATATTATATTATATTATATCATCTATATGTGTTTTATATATTTGAAGAAAATCATTTACAATTAGTCAAAAAATCTTTTTATTCAAAAAATAACTACTATAATAACATCAAATAAAATATTCTATATAAAAAATTAAATGATTTGAATAGATTATGATAAACAGTATTTTCCTACTTGTATATATATATCTTATGTAATTTATTTTCTTAAAATTCTTTGTATATACCATTTGTTTTTGTATTGAAGACTAAAATCAATCTATATCATGGGTATTAATTGTATCGTGATTAAATTTTATTATTTAATGATTGGAATTTAAAATTCATTTCAATATTAATTTGTATTCCTATAAATTTGTTAAATCGTTTTGAATTTCTATCATATATTATATATTTCAATATATTTTACATATGATAAAATTATTTCTTTCTTATATCAGTGTGTATAAGAAATTATTATATTCTTATTATATTTTTTAATTATTATTAATAATCAAGAGAAATTTATTTTAATAAAATATAAACAAGTTTTCTAAGAAATTATCTTTTTATTTTCAGTATATAGATAATGATAACATGAATGATAACGATATCTTCATTAATACCAACTCCACAAGTATATCAATTTATTTTATAATTA